AAGAAGAAGAAGAAGAAGAAGAAGAACAAGAAGAACAAGATGAAGAACAAGAACAAGAAGAACAAGAAGAACAAGAAGAAGAAGAAGAACAACAACAAAAAGAAGAAGCAGTAGTTGTCTTACTCTCTATGAATGTGTCGACTTTCTCAGACTTGCACTTTCCGTTGCACTTATTGTACTGAGAGCGTCGGCAAATTTTTCGTTAGTTAAAAATATTAATTGCTTTTAGATGTCAAAGCCTTGCCAGATCAAAAGCGTTTGTACATACGATTTTTTGGTATTGTTCTGAGAAAGTATTTGATGTAAGAAAACCCTTCAGGAAACTTCCACAAGGACAAGGCGTGCCAGGGGCATTATTCCTCTTCATTTTGTCGTAATGGCCCAAGCCTTGGTGCGAACGCTTTGCAGCTAATTTATTTGTGTTGTGAACGAGGTAGAATCATGTGCTCGTCAATTTTGGTGTATGTGAAATTATTAGTAGAATCTTAAAGCTTGTTCATTATCTATCTTTCGATGGAAAATATTTTCCAATATATCTTGAATAGAGTCGAGATATTTCAGATTGAAGGAAACTGGGGTTGCGTGGTTTCTGACGTACAAATAGCGAGAAAATAGTTGTCAAAGTTTGGTGACTTATATAGATCGAGAGTACTTGGGGGAGCGTTGCATCTTTTGGTTCCTTTAAGCAATCCTTTTCAGTAAAATCCTCCAAAAATGTATTGATGAATTGATTTTTTAAAAAGTTCTGCCCCAAATAAAGCAAAAGAAAAAGCATATTAAAAAATTGCCCCAATGGGCGGGAAAATGTCTATTTCTTCACTTTCATTATTTTGACGAGTTCTTAATTTCACCACGATGCCTCGCATTTTAAAAAGCAAAAACCAGCGGCCAGGACCGTGCACGGGTAAAATAATGCAAGTCTATGGGTTTGATAAAGCTGAGGGCTGCCAAACTGTAATTTTAAGGAGTGGCATATACTGTTTTCAAACCTTTCTAAACCAAACAAGTTTGATTTTTTTCGGTCACAATTAGCTTTGACAAGTAGGAACGAAAGCTCTTGTAGTTGTAAAATAATGCTTGAATGAGTAACGCAGACTTAGTAGTTGCTTTATTTCTGTCTTGCCTAAAGAAAGTGTGTGCTCCCCTCCTTCTTTTTTCTCAAACGTCCCCTCCCCAGCCTCAAGCAAACACACACACACACACACACACACACATACGCTCACACACAAACACACTCGCACACACACACACACACACACACACACTCACATGCACTCACTAACTCACTCACAAACTCACATACATTCATATGCATGTTGTTGTTGTTGTTGTTGTTGTTGTTGTTGTTGTTGTTGTTGTTGTTGTTGTTGTTTTCAAATCCATTTAGCTGCAAGCATTTCGTTCTTGAGCGCAATATTTCCGAATGAAAGCATAATTAAACGGCCATTATTAGAAACGTCAATAGTCGGCTCTCATCTCATTTCAAGTACACGACAGAAAGCTGAATTTGTTTTTGTTTTTGTTTTCTTTCTTTTTTTTGTGTGTAACATATGTGACGAGATGACTGCTTTTCCTTGTCACCCAAATGACACAGATTATTTTTCTCTTGTTTCAGGTGAAAAAAGAGCATTTGACCTGTCGCACATGTTCAAACCAGAAGCTGGGTATTTCAAGGAGGAAAAACAAGCTGATGACAATAATTCAAAGTCACTGTTCTTTGATTGGATTTACTAAAATTTACAACAAAGGATACACGTGCATATCAATTGTGACCTAGCTTTTGATTTGGATACTTATCGTATTCTAACTTTGACTCTTCAATTATTTGGAATCACATTTTACATTTTCTCAAAGACAGCAATAACTTTTCTTTTGATTGCGTATGATTTAAGAAAAAAAACACCTTTTGCTCCCACTCAATTCGTTCCAAGATCTCTCTAGTGAGTAATATGAATTTCAATATGGAAAGCCACGTCTTTTGATTACAGCAGCAGAATCCAATTTCTTGACTACTCCTATTGAAAGTGGTACACACAGCGCTTTGTCTGTGCTTTGTCTGATCTTTCACATAAATAATATCAAGCATCTAAATTGAGCATTGTAGAGTCGATATTCCCTGCAAATAACTCTGGTGGAAGTGTTTCAATAGACAGTGGTGATTAACTGTTCACAGTAGTCGTTGTCTGGTAGAATTCAGAATTGTAAACAGCAGCAGCAGCTATTGCCAGCACTCTAATCCAGGCTGGGACGTTCTATTGTGAGGAAATTCCTGATAGTGAACTGCTTTGCTTAGACAGTCGGGGCTCCATCTTTGCTCAGCTGGCCTACTTGACCGCGTGCTTTGAGTGAATAAGGGCTTGCGCAGGTGCTAAATTCGGCGCTGAATTTGACTGAGTGGATGTCCAGAATTCACTGGAATGTTTGGGACAAGATGAATGGAACCGGAAGTACGCAATCATGGCCGACGGGATAAACCTCATACTGAGTCTCCTTGTGCTCGCTTCTTGTGCAGGTAGGTGGCTACTGTTCACTCATTTAGCTGTTATTGTTGTTAAATGCTGTTGTTACTGTCGTTTTCACTGTCGTCGTCGTTGTTGTTGTTGTTTTTCTTGATGTCACTTGAGCGAGAAAAAGAAAGAGAGGAAAGGAAGGGAAGGGAAGAGGGGGATTGAGACAGAAGATAAAGAAAATGGGAAGACAGACAGAAAGGCAGACAGACGTGGAACATACTAGTGAGTGTAAGAGAGAAAGAGGGAGAAAGATAGAACAAAAGAGAAGAGACGGAAAGTAAAAACGTGAACCAGATAAAAGACATACTGATAGACAGCCAGAGGACAGACTGGCATAGCGTTATCACAGCAAGCTTAAACCTCTTGGAACGTCGCCATACTTAGAGCACAGAGACTTCGCGGAGACCTGAGACGAAGCCTCTGAAAGAAAAGAAACTCGGGTGTGCTTGGCAATGGTTAAGACGAATTTGGCTAATCCCTTTTTCGAAAGTTACTAAAATGAGTATAACGCCTTGTGTCTACGAGGAGTTCAACCAGCTTCTATGTATTGATTGGTCTGTTTGTACCTCTCTATCTATCTATCTATCTATCTATCTATCTATCTATCTATCTATCTATCTATTTATCTATCTATCTATTTATCTAT